ACTAATTTCAATCTGCCACTAGCTTTTTTGGTAAAAATAGCAACTTATCTTATGCCCTTTCAAAAAAGTGAGTGAAAGGAGAGTACTGTCTTTGATGCTCCTCTTCTTCCTCACCCACCGCTTTTCCCAATGTTCCACTTCCCTTGCTATGCCAGCATTCTTAGCGCCTTTTTTTTTCTTGGCTATTTAACTGGATTTGAATATTGTAGCTTCTTGTCAGTTAAGAAAATTTTTTATGAGCTAGGAGTGAAAGAACTGGGTGTGGAATTCGTTCCAATTGATCAGCTATATTCGGAAGCTGATTTTATCATCCTAACCTGCTTGGCAACTGAACAGAACAGAGGCATGATTGACAAGAGCGCTTTATCAAAAATGAAGAAGAATGCCATACTGATCAATACTAGCAGGTTATCGAATTATTACGTTATTTTGCAAAAGAGTTAATTTTCAAACGGTGAAACAGTTCTGTAAAACTTTTCAGAGACTCTGACTTCCTTAACAAAGCGGAGGAGTAGGAAGGGACCTGTATCTGCTTCTGTCTCAGCGGGCGTATAAATTCTAAAATGTTTTCGGTACACTAGTTTATCATTGATAGTTGCAGAGGCACGCTGGTAAATCAAAAAGATTTGTATGAAGCACTGGATAAAGGAGAAATCCGGTCTGCGGGACTGGATGTAACAACACCAGAACCATTGCCTTTGGACGATCCACTGTTCAAACTCAAGAACTGCGTAATTTTGCCACACATTGGTTCCGCAACAGAGGCAACAAGAAAAGAGATGATGGAGCTTGCAGAAACAAATCTAATCAGCGGATTAACTGGAAAGAAAATTTCAGACAGAATTCGTGCTGCCTAGACAATTTTTTGTCTAAGCACTAAAACATTCATATTAAACACTTCGTCATCTTTCTATATTTCAACACTTTACAGTTATTTTGTTTGATGTACAAGTCATCAAGACCAGCCAGATGGTAGTTGTGTAAACTGATGTTAGGCGCCTAGCATAACTATGCCAAGTCTTTCGGTCGTGAGGTGTAATCTATTCGTAGGCTTCGCAAGTGATTGTTCCTCTCCTAGCCAAGCAAGCGGCGGCAGAAGTAGACAAGAAACGTTGTTTCGGTTGGAAGAAGCACAATTTTAATTAAAGATCGTCGAATCTGTCGCATACCTTCTTTTTTCACAAGCTGGAAAAGTCAGAGTGTCATTACAG